CTTTCCATTTAAAATAAGAAAGTTGAGACCGACTTCCGGTATAACCGGAAGTGCCGCCATCTTGAAAATATTTTCATTTAGGAGGACTTAATGCATTATGGTTATGTACCAATTTTCAAACAAATATGATTATTCAAACCCCCAATACTTTTAATGTGGGGTTTAGAGGGAACACCCTGTATAACCAGTGGCGGCGTGGAATTTTAATAGTGTGTTTTTTCCAGATGATTTAACAATTGACTATCAGTTCACTTTTAATTTATCGAAGAAGGAGGATCGCCATTTTACCCAGATTAATTTCCGTAATTCCCCGATTAAGGCCGATATTGATGCTGATTTTTCCATAACTTGTTCCGTTCTTGCCAAAATGAATATAACAATACGGAGGGGTGGTTCAAAGGARGAGAAGCCGATTTATGAGGATTTCAATTGTACCACATTTCGGACGAAATTCCCTAAATCTGAGTACAATTTCGGTGTTGAGGATAACATAACCTTGACCACTTTCTACGTGTATGTTTACGATTTTCAGCCGCCGCTTTGGATCCAAATTTCGTTTTCTCAGTATCCAAAATTGAATTTGCAGCAGTTTTTTATCACATTTTCGTCTTGTTTTCTTCTGTTGTTGCTTTTCGCTGCGATTTTATGGAAGATCAAGCAGAGGTATGATATGTATCGTAGACGGCAGCGACTTTTTGTCGAGATGGAGCAAATGGCGTCGCGGCCATTTTCTCAAGTTTTGGTCGAGGTGGAAGTGAAGGAAAGGCCCGATTTTGATAATTCCGTGATTGATTTGAAGCGGAAAAAAAGGGATGCCCCCAGTCCCATTGCCTTGGAGCCTTGTTATGGCAACAAAGCGGCCGTTTTGAGTCTTTTAGTGAGACTACCGACGGGGTGTGAGCCGTACACGGTCAAAGGTCAATCGGCCGGTTTGGCGATCGCTAGTGCGTTGGTCACGCTGGGGAATCCCCGAAAAATGAGCATCGATCAAGTGAAAACCGAGACGAAAAGTGGAAAATCCCGGAAATCCCAGAGTCAGCATCCCGATAGTTGTCTTTAGTTGGCTTCGGGTCGGTTTTTGTACTTATTGACCCGAGCCCTAGTGAAATTGTGATACGTTTTCCAGGCCAATTTTTTTAATAGCATTAAATGACAACAAATTGGATTCATTCATTGTAATCGGTGTTATATTCTTCTTCTCAAAGTATTTTGAAGCAATTTTAGCAATATGACTAACTGCTTGTTTTAAATAGACTTGGTTTTGTGTGGTGAGCTTTTTTAAGACATTTTAATGAGAGACTGAACATATTTATTGTTTTATATTGATATTTTTTCATCTAGATCTGTTGTTTTTTACGGTAATGGGCTCGAATTTTATTTACTCATGGATCGACTAGTCCTTGAATCATTTAATGCGGTCCTGATCTCATTACGTACTCTTTTACTCAAGTTTTAGAACATGTGTCTGGTTTCAATTTTTATCATATACTCTTAGATGCCACATATTTTAGTATTTTCCATTTTTATTTACTGCCATGTACCTACTATATTATGTACAATTATTTCTATTGTAAATAAATCATTAGTTATGCTTGCTTTTTTGTCTTCAAATCGAAAATACGAATTTAAATTTTGAATTTCGCGCCGAAGTTAATGTAGTGTTAGTAGCGTCATCTTTTGGGCTACTTTCGCACAAGACGGGTGTAAAGTTCCCTCTCAAGGCTGAATCATGGCGCCCTCTGCTTGATTTGATTTTTTACTTACAGTGTGTTTAAAAAAAAACAAAGAAACTAAATATTCTGTCAAATAGCACAAAAAATGTAGCGTTTTTACAGACAATATCAAAAATTTGAAAAATTTTGTTAAAACAAAGTAAAAAAATTATAAATTTAAAGTGTCTAAAATGCTTTACATTTTATGCATTTTAAGATATTTATCGCATTTTTTACTGCAAACTAAATAACTTTTAAAACATTTAACTAAAACAATAAGAGAGAACATTCCAAAATAATTCTGAAATAATTTTTTTTTATAAATTTAGAAGCGTTTTTACTGAAAAACTCCCAGAATTTGTGTGATTTTACTAAAATTAAGTAGAAAATTCTTGAATTTACTATTTTCGATTATTTTGATGAATTTTTAATTTGTTTATTGAGACAATAAATTCTAGAAATTTTGCAAAATAAAACACAATTGCAAAATTATGTCCAAAAGACTTTAACACTTATTTAGATAAATTTAATAAATAAAAAAATATAAGATTTTGCGATAACAAGGCAAAAATTACAAAATCAGTTTTCAAATGCGATATTTTTGAAATTTAGTGTTTTATCAAAAAATTCACTAAATGAAGGAAATTTTACTCTAAAAGTGTAGGTTTTTCTCTTTATTTAGAAAAACAAAAAGTTGAGACTTTATGATGCCAAGGTAAAAAAGCGATTTTATCGATATTAAAGAAAACTTGAGCTTAAAAAGCAATGAAACGTCGTTGACAATCAACGATTATTAAAAAAAAAAATTTAATCATATTTTACAATAAGCAGAGACACTGGCCAGAGGCGTGGCGGCGCAGTGACATAAAGCCCGGGGTTTGAATTTTGGCCAAACTAGCAATTTTTTGTTAAAAAAGAGCCACAAAAACAAAGAAACTAAATATTCTGTCAAATAGTGCAAAAAAATTAGCGTTTTTTATTGAATATCGCAGAAATTTGAGAAATCTTGTTAAAACAAATAAAAAATAGCAAAATTAAAGTGCTTTATTTGTATTTATTTTGAGAGATTTATCGCATTTTTTACTGCAAAACTAAATAAATTAAAAAAAATACTACAACAGTAGAAGAGAAAATTCCAGAATTAGTTCTAATATGTTTTTTTTTGTAAATCTAGAAGCGCTTTTACTGGAAAACTCTCAAAATTTGTGAGATTTTACCAAAACTAAGTCTACTATTTTCGATTATTTTGATGAATTTTTAATTTATCTATTGAGACAATACATTCTAGAAATTTTGCAAAATAAAGCAAAATTGCAAAATTATGTCCAAAAAACTTACTTAAATACATTTAATAAATAAAAAAATTATAAAATTTTGCGATAACAAGGCAAAAATTACAAAATCAGTTTTCAAATGCTTTGAAATTCACTAAATTAGGGAAATTTTACTATAAAAGTGTAGGTTTTTTTCTTTATTTAGAAAAACAAAAAGTTGAGACTTTATGATGACAAGGTAAAAGGAGAATCAGCAATTTTTTGTTAAAAAAAGCCTAAAAACATAAAGAAACTAAATATTCTGTCAAAAGTGCAAAAAATTTAGTATCGTTTTTTACAGTAAATCTCAAAAGTTTGAGAAATCGTTTTAAAACAAAGTGAAAAATAGCAAAATAAAAGTGTTTAAAGTGCTTTATTTGAATTTATTCTGAGAGATTTGTAGGTAGGGGACGCAGCACGAAACAATTGGTTACAATCTAAAAGATACTTTACTAAATAAAAATGAAACTCTTAATCAAATGTGATTAAGAATAAAAATACTGCTCGGATTTCCAACAACGTAAAGATGTTTTCCAAATAAGTAGGATAAGGAAAGTCGTGTCAGATTTTTTTTAAATAAAAGTGTTATTTAATTAATTCAGTAAAATTCTCAAGTCGTAGACTTTTAATAATTGGCTTCCAACGTCTTGTTTTTTCCAAGACTCGAGTCACAATTCAAGTGTCACTTAAAAATGCAGGGTCAAGATTTTGCTACAAAAGCCTCAACCTTGTGCTACATTTGGCTTGTTTGTTGGAAGTTTATGTGGGAGTCGAGGAGTTGAATAGCCTTAGGCACAATTATTCATCATATCTGAATCGTCAGAAGTCTGTTTAAGATAGGTTGGATAATTAGTTTGTTGGATTCGAGCTAAAAATTCGAACTCAATTAGAGTCGGCGAGGAAGTCGATAATTTCAAGATTGCTACATTTTTCAACAAATTGACAGCATCCGTTTCGTCAAATACAATTTCCTGACGAATTTTTCGCGAAATTAAGCGTCCGTATACAAGTTACTACTTTTTTTTTTTTAATTAAAACTACCACTTGGCATCAATAACGTAAAAGCTTCCTTTGGGAAACTGCGTTGATTTATAACAGTGTGCAAGAGAGAAGCTCGCGCTTTCAAAAGACTACTCTCTTTGAAGAAAGAAAACAAGCCCGGAAAAATAACGACTCCGGTGATGATTATTCCAAGTTGTTTCGAATTAAGACGCACAATTTTCACTCCGGAGGGATTCCGGGACCCGGAGATGTGTGTTGCAGTAATTTTCCCGATAACGACGAAAGAACTGAGTGGGTTACTTAAACAGTTTTGCTACTACCAACTTTAAATTACGTGTCAAAAACTGCTGTTTGCCCCGAATCGGCCGAGAAAAACTTTTATTACCTGTAATACATCAAAGTCCACATCTTATACATTTTATATAACGTGATTTMTTTTTTCAATGGCAACYTTGTTAAAACATCCAAACGAGTACTTTAATAATGTTTCGTAGCRATGACAACGTTATTAAAATATCTAAACGCGTCTTTCGTAACCATGACAACTCCGTTAATGGCCTCAGCAATGTTGCCAGGTCTGGTGAAATTTCATTTTTATGCTAATTTGATGAAAATTTTTGTAAAAATTCTAATGTCTGACGATTTTTTTAGAAATGTGGGTAAACAGAAAATTAATAACTTTTGATTTTTTTTTAGTCGTGTATTCGCCTAAACATTTTGTAAAATTAATTTTTTTGCTCAATTTCAAGACAAAATTTAATTTTTTAAGTCAAAATTAATGACATTTTGTACGTTTTTTTAATCAGAAATGCAATTATTTTGGCAAATTTTTTCAAAGATAAGTCAAAAAATCCCTAACTTAGTTAAAATAAGTAGTTTTATCTGTTTTTTATACGATTTTACTCAAAAAATCGCTAAATTCGGTTTCAAAATACATTATTTTTGTCTTTTTTGCAGCGTTTGATAGTACGTTTTACAGCCAGAAAACACTTGTAAAAATTCTAATATTTGACGATTTTTAGAAATGTAGGTAAGCAGAAAATTAAAATATTTTGAAATTATTTTTTTAGGCGTGTATTCGTCTAAACAT